TATTTGCCGACCAGTGATATAGATTTGGTGGTAATCGGGCGCTGGAACTGTCAGCCCCTCATAGAGTTGGAGCAGTACTTCCTGATGAACAGGTATTGCTATCCACAGGACATCCAAGTGCTGGACAGGGCGGCCATACCTATCATTAAGATGACTGACAGCTGGTCTGGAATTCGCATTAATATTAGCTTTAATTTAAAGCAAGTCTTCAAAAGTGTTGATTTGGTTGTCGTAAGTGTTAAACAAACTTATCATTCAGTTTTGGTTTATTGTAAACTTTTTTCACTTAATTTATAAATGTTTTCATTAATGTATGAAATGTTTGCCAGAAATACATGAAAGCGATGCCTGCAGTGAAGAAACTGTTGTTTATTATCAAACAATTTCTATTACAACGAGATTTGAATGAAGTGTTCAAAGGAGGGCTCAGTTCCTATTCACTCGTCTTAATGGTCGTCCACTTCTTTCACAGCCATTCTGGTGCTAAAGAGGAGACCAATTTGGGCCGACTTTTGCTACAATTCCTCGAACTCTATGGACTTAAACTCAACTACGAAGAAGTGGGCCTTAGGGTCAGGGATGGGACGTACGTATCAAAGGCCGAACTCCTCAAGACTATGGAGATTCCGAATGGAGAGACCATTGGTTACAATAACTATAAGCCGTCCCTCCTATGCATTGAAGACCCTCTGAATGCATACAATAATGTCTCGCGAAACTCGTATGCCGTCCATAAAGTGAGGGATGCCTTCGCCTATGCCTTCCATACGCTGTATACGGCTGTCGGACCCAATCGGGCCGTCGTCGACACCAATGACTCCCTTTTGGGTCGTATTATACGAGTAACCGATGCGGTGGTCGACCAGAGGAACACCCGTTCCCTTCACTACAATCCCTACCAACGCACCAAATGTGGACCCAATTGTAAGGTATGTATAAAAGTTATTGATGCCATAAATGTGGCATAAGTTGTGTATAAGTAAATTAATTTGTTAATTTGCTATTAGCAGGGTAATTGGCGCCGACCCCGGCAGTACAGCAACTATAGTAATAACTCAAGTTCCGGGTACAGTAGTAATACGGATAGTAACGGCACTGAGAGGGCCAACTATGGTAACAGAGAGCACGGGTATCACAACCATTATAATCACAATTATCATAATCATTGGAATAATGGCTATAATAATGGATATAATAAGAGAAACAAATACTATAATAATAACTACAATAACGGCGCTAATTACGATCATCAGGGTCGACGCAACTATTACTCATTCAATAACAATAATCATAGATACAATCGGATTGATAACCAAGGTATTCAACAGTGAACTCAAAACTAATACACAGGCCTCCCATTCCAATGAAAACAGATCATCAGGGTCGACGCAACTATTACTCATTCAATAACAATAATCATAGATACAATCGGATTGATAACCAAGGTATTCAACAGTGAACTCAAAACTAATACACAGGCCTCCCATTCCAATGAAAACTAAGCATTTATACAGAAAATATACCAAAAAAAGTTTTTTTTAATATTATAACACTAGTTGATTACTTATTATTAAGTTTTTTTTAATTATGTTTAAAGTTTTGATTGTTTTCCAATAAATTTTAATTTGCATTTTAAAACCACATAAAACTGTTGTGTATTTTATTATATTATATCATAAACACTGGTATAAAATACTTCATGAAAAATGTTTGAACACTTAAAGTTTTATTGGCAATAAATTATTGCTAATAATAGTAATAAATTAGTATTATCAGTGTCAGTTATGAACAAATAATTAGTTTGCGAACCACTGATTAGTGTACTAGACGAGTTATTCATACAA